TTCCCCAGAGGAAAATTAAAATTCACAAAAAATGTTTCGGTTTATGAACCTACTGGTACACTGGACATGACTTTAAACAACGGTGAGAACTACCTAGTTTAATGCTGAGCATTATACTTTTTGAGATTGAAACTAGTATACCTATAGAATACATTGATGTATGATATCAGCAGAAGGACAAGCCGAATAATTATCTCATTTTCTGCTTCATGTGAACTGAGGTCCCCCTATTGGCAGGTACATAGAACCTATGTACCTTTACAATTATTGATGGCTGAGGGTGCTTGTTCAATCATGCCCTTTCTTACTAGGCAGCAGATAACCAGCTAGTGAAGTGGAATTCGCGCTCCACTCCCATTATCTTTCACTAAATTAACGGGATAGGAAACATACCCCTGTACCACATAATAAAGTGAGCTTTCACGTAGTTCACTTATAAATAAGCTGGTGCTTAGTTTATTTTGCGAAAGTAATGTGCATGACAGGAGACAGCAAGCGATGTGGAACCGGCAAATTGCTCTTCAAAATGCACGGCATCAAAATCCGTGACAGACAGTTACATGAAATTTCCAGCAATCGATTTTACTTTTTCTTCTCAAGATACGCTGTTAATTTGGAACAGTTACATTTCACTCTACCGTTAAGGTAACTGAAACTGGTTTCAGTACATCGATCGCTCGGAGCTCTGGCCTGGCGACTGTGACTCAATTATTACCCATGCGATCGGTTGTCGAGACGACACAGTACTATTATGGAAAGTTTGAGTGTTTCTCTCGGTTTTTGAAGCACCTAACTAACCCGAGTTGCTCATTCCACGGTCTGTGGCTGGCGTACACCCAAGGATGAAAATACATTTAGTGAAAAATGTGTACTATTGGGAGGGGAGAAACAGGAGGTAAAAGCAGAGGAGAGTGTGTAAGCAGTGACGTTTCTTTTATCGCCATGGCACTGAGAACACTGTTAGCCGCAGTCCTCTGTGGTTGAGCTAAAGCCACAGCAATCCGATACCATGGAAACTTCAGTTGATACATACCTCACTTATATTATGCCAACTTCTCAGTAAACATATATCGGTGTATACCAGAGCATTAAGAGGTAATTCATAAGGCATCAGCAGCAGATGTCACAACACTGATTTTCACAAGTATCGGCTTCCACTGGGAAGTTTGGTTGCTATTCAACCTTTACTCACGGTGATAGAAAAAGGTGGCCCACCGGAACATCATATGATTAAGCGTTGCTACGCTCGTTTGTTGACAGGACTGCAGCGTTATTCATTAGCATGTTTCTCAAACAATTTGTTCTAGGATAAAATGCATCAGGTAAATCCCAAGTACATAATTGGATCGTCTATTTGCAGGAAGATCATCGTGGGCTACAAAATAGAAACTAGTTGTATATGCTACTTCAAGAGAGTCATCGGTGGAGAGATTATACCAAAACTGATATAAGAAAGATTACCGCGGAAATTCACTGTGATTAGAGTATTTTCCTTAAGAACTCTCCTTGGAATGCACCAAATGCCTGTGTGGGTATATCATAGGTTAGTAAAAATGCGCTGGAGCGCGCAAGGGCCCATCATCTAGTCGCTTCTATGTTTAAGAAGAAAGGATGTTTTGGCAGAATAAACTACACAGTTCTGAATACCAAATGAACTGGAGTAATTCTCATAAAAGCGGTAATAGTTGTCCGGCTATCGTTCTGTTGCGTACCGACAGAATAACTAATTTCTACACGGGTGGTAGAATCCGTTCATCGCCGACAGCTTCACTGTACCGTCTGTTGCCCTCGGTCAATATACACATGAATATACCACATTTATGCATGTGTGAAGTTGTCATTTACGGGATAAACAAACCTACATCAACACCCTTTCACAGCGGGCATGTTAATTAGGCTAAATTATGTTCTGTCCTACATCATCACACGGTGCGGTAAAGTTCAATAGTGCCATCGTCAGTCTGTTTCTGTGCTCCTGCTTCCAGGTTGCTTTGATACAGCACCTTATTGTGGTGATGAATGGCCCCGACTACGTACGTCTGCCGTTTGGTTAAACGCGGGCACGTCAGTAAACCTCGGTCTCTTTGGGTACAAACAAGAGATGTACAATATCATGCGAGAGCGATACAGAGCAAGCGTAAGCGGACCTGTCAATTTATTTTGTTGCGGTTTATAGGTGCAACAGGTGAATTAAGATTAGGAGATGAGGATTCCGGTGGAAGCTTTCTACCCGTCTGTCTGTGCGCTCGTGTTCACACACGTCAAGAGAGAATGCAGTTGACAGTAGGTAATTTTGTCATTCATTCGGCTGTCGGAATAGGTGGATGTGGATGCCAAAGACGGTGTCGTACATCCGCTTTCCCATTTTCATGTTAATGCCTGGTTTAGCTAATTTACTGATGTTGGACGGGAAAGATGACAGATGTTTATACTGCCTACGCTGCAGCTTATTTTTGGACAGGGAACTGCAAATATTAGATGGGTGTACAGCAGTTAAAAAGGCGGCTAACTAATTTGCCATTTCGTGTTAAACTCGTTCAAATCACCTTGCCCCCGCTAGTTTCATCGACTGTTCCACTAGCGCCAACGGCGAATGAAGCCTACATATTGTTAAATCCACTTACCAGGATCCTTCCTTCGAGGTAGCTTTAAACCCACTTTCTAACCATCACTACTCAACCCTCTGTTTGGCAGTCATCACCCCCTCAGAAGTTGAAGATTGACGATCCGTCTGCTTACAATGATGCAAAAATATCGGCAACCTAAAATCTATTTTGATTCAAATGTGACATCGTGCACGTTGCTGGTGATGACAGCCGGACGGAGTAGAGATCAACTGAACCAATAACGGAGGTCGTTTTTGACGTGCAGACCTCATCAGCGACTCGCATTTCTCGAAAACGGATAGACGCACCGAGTGATAACACAATGTCCAACTTCCATCAACTAGCCTACTTCAGAGAACTTGCACAACATGAACAGTTTGTCTGCCTTATCATCATAGTAAGCTTCCGGAATCCTGAAAAACGTTGGACAGCCTTCATTGGTTACGTAGTTGTTTCGGTGGAAACCTCGATTGATCTACTAACGACCGGTTCTATCTTGCCCACGTGACAGCAGACGGTTGGCAAGCAAATTAAACTAACTCCTTGAGGTTAATTGTACCTAAAGCAGGACAGCTTGTATTATCAGTTGCAACGCAGTAGCATGTGTATGGATTGGAACGGAGCGTTACCATTTCAAGGTTGATTAGCTAATCTGGGCACGAGATAGACGTCAAACGTCTCCTTTACAGCAATGAATCGGCGATATGACCGTACGAAAATGAATTCCTGCACACTACTAGTGCTTCCCTAGCTAGAGCGAGGCATCATACTGAAGCAAGCACAAATTATTTCTGATGACTGGACGGATTGTGCACATTGTGCAGTTTAGAAATCAACATATTTCATCTGTCGAGGTTAGTCAGTTAACTTCTTAAATTCGACTGAAATTTTGGGCCGTTACGGTTCTTTGGAAGTCAGTTACGTTTATGAACTATCACATGTGATGAGCTGACTTTGCGTGACGTTTATTGTGCCCCTCATTACTTAAAGAACGCCCCACAGGATGAGAGACCCGACTGGAATCCTGACCTTTTTACTGATATGTTGTTAGGGTTTCAAGATTCAGAGCTACAAAAGCCATGCGGCGTATTCATAGTTAACAAGTGTTGCAGACTTATATGCAAATAATACAACTTTCTTCTTGAAGTCCTTCTTGTTTATACCATCGTTATTCAGCTAGTAAGCGAACCAACAGTTTAAACTACGGCATGAAAAATGTGTCCAGTGAGACACAATTTTAGACACGCCATTTGTCCACTTTATAGTCGTAGTTCGTGTGGTAGCGGATGCGTACCATCTTGCCGTGTACTCTCATTCTGTCGGCTTACACACACGGTCAATGTAGTTGTCACCAAATAATTGACAGTTTCGAGATTAACCTGAAAACGTGCTAGGAGACAAGACACTGTATGAGGATAAAACAATAATGACAACCTTTATTAACATGTTGATGTGGGGGCCACTCCAGTGGACAAGCTCCTGGGGAATGCGTAGCCTTTCACTTTTTCCCTATGAGTTGTGGTGTAATCCGGATCATTATTGCTGTAGAAGAATCCCGAATGCCCTATCCTGCGATACCTACGTCCCGCTCAATGATCCCCTGGCTCTGGTTCCCTCTATCATTTACCCAACCTTTTATCATCCCAAATCCTTTGTTTCTCTGGCTCAATGCAATATATTGGGTTTCTGCTAGATTAATTACGTGTTTGTTTTAGACTTTGAGAAGGTGAATGACCTACATTCATTACACATGTTTGACCTACTTTTCTAACCAGAACAAACTCCACTATCGTACCACATAGTAACGTCCGATATGTTATCGGCGCACCATAACGTTTCAATTTATGTCCATTGTGCTCACATTGCGTCGCACTGCATGTGTGACCTGACCATATAGCACTGTTGTTGTGAATGGAGATCATACATTGTAATGGTTGAGAATATCCGTAGCCCAGGATGTGCATGTAGTTATTGCGTGCAAAATAATCGTTCAGCTCGGAGAGCAGTGCAATACCCACGTCATACATTGTAACCATTTGTTCCATGCGGCCTACTGTTTCTGTCCCCCCCTGTGAAACACAATGCCATCACTGTGCGTAATGTACGCAGCTCATGATATCGTCCCTTCTTTTTGAGTAGTCCTGAGTGAGCCCGTTTTAAGTCACAAGACATACGGTTTTATTCGTACGTGTGTATTGTTGGCTATTTTTGACTGTGCCTGAGGCACTGAGTATTGAGATGTTGTACACGTGTTGTTTTTAATCATTTGTCAATGGTACCGTATTCCAGTGCCAGCCTTGTTCTTGTTGATTCCGGTGCTAACGTGTTGGCTCAAGGCTTCCAATCGATTTGTCATTGACAACGGCACTTACCTTTGTAACGCTTCTTCCGTAGGTTCAACGCATGAAGACAACTGCATTATATCCAAGTTTGGCATAGCAACAACGGTACAAATGATGCAAGCCGATTCGCAACAGAATGCAGCAAACTCGTTAACCCAATCGAAAACATCCAGTCGCGATGACGAAGTGACTCCAGAAAAAAGCAAATCTGACCACCCGCCAAACGTTCAATGGCCCACTTCTTCATATAAAATCACAGTTGCAGCTAATCAAATTTCGGAATCACTCACTGGAATATGTGACTCTGCAGAGTTTCCACTGGCTGACAAGTTGCTTTTGTTATCTGAAGTTGCCGGATGCATAGTCCAACTGACGGAACACGTAACATCAGAAGCCGAGGCCGCTAAAATCACAGTAAGTTAGGAATGCGTTTGAGTCAGACATTCTCCAATTTCCTTGTTATGCAATATACTAATTCTTAGTTTACTGTCTCCCGCAGTGCAGCAGAGCTTTGGCGGTATGGCTTTTTATTCACCTATCAAAATTTAGTAAAAACGTTTTTCCGTTCAGAGGTTTTTTGTCTGCTTGAATAGTCCCAGAAAATGAATACACAATTGCACATGTTCAATCTGATCATAATTATATTTAGGCTCTGCTGCAACATAAGCAATTCACCGCCATTTTTCGAAAACTGATATGAAAGAACTGGAATGGCCCATATCAGATAAGATCGTCAAACCGAGATCGCATTTCGAATCTGCTTGGTTTCTTAATTTACAAGTTAAGTGTGCCCAAATGAACGAATCATCTTTTATTAAAACATGTCTTCATTTGAATCATATACTGTGAATGTTTCATCTTAAGCTTAAACGGTTAGTTGAATGACTGTAACCTCTTCCCTTTACTGGCACAACTGAACTTGCACAAGTACTTGTTGAAACAATTCGAAATATCTCCAGTACTCTGCCACACTTTTGTCGTACAATTGCTCCCATTATATTTGCGCTAAGTACTAACTATTGGCTCATGTAAAGTAAAAACATATCTGAGAAAGTTGCATTTCGCCAACCCCAACTATCATGCCATTTGCTAACTGGGCTAAAATAACTTAGGTTCCAGTACTTGCCAACCAAGAAGACAATCCAGCTTTATTAATCTCAGTTTCATAAGATTCTATGTATAACTCCCCTTTTATTTTACACAAAATACCTGTTTTCGGTTGGGCCCATACGATACGAAGGATACCCGTTCACAAATTCATAGGAGCATTTGAATGGATCAATCAGATTGCCATTACACCCCAGAGAAATCACTAGACGGCAGTTTTATCCTTTTGGGAATCCCCAATATTGTGCTGTTCATCTACCCCGTGAACTAGAATACACGAGCCTGTCTTACTGGTCCGTGATTAAGGCCAGCAAGCCACGAGGAACGGTAACCATCTAATGACTAGGTTATAGGTAGTGAAGTAACGCGGATCACTTTCCATCGAATCGTCCGTTACTGGCATGTGTAGAACAAGTAAGCCACCGGGACCTCTACCTGTGTGTGGTAGCCGTCTGCATGAGCTTCCATGTGATGAATTCAAATTGAACCCAGTACGACGGAAGGATCATTTCGTTTTAGTAATGTTAGTACTGGCAGAACATATATAATCAGGAGACAAATATCAAGAAGAAAGCGCAACGTATGTATCCATTCATTCCAAAGCGTGATCTTCCTACTAAAGTGATGGTGCCACGTCCAGCAAATAGCACTGGCTGTTTCTGGCGACTTGAGCAGTAGCCTTTAGCATATGTGTTAGACCCATTTTCCTTCAGCTTTGTCAACTTTGATTTCGCCTATATGGCGGGTTTCCGATGCCAAATAATCATGTGAAGCGGCCCAGCATTTGATGAGATTAAATATACTCTGAATCGCATCATATCCGTTTGACCTTTATCCGATCGAGCATTCCATGTGTTGTCACAAGTGCGTAATGTATCTCAGATGACTTGTTTTCGTCCGGAACCATGCGTTGTTGGATACTTCTATGGTGCGCTAAGGCTTGTGATGGCTAGATTCTGACAGATGGTCTACCCACTGCTGCTACTGTTGTGCCATTGGCTCATGTCCTGGGCACCTCCACGTGGCGACCGCTGGGTGGTTGTTGGGTTACGCCCTTCTCCCTGCTAAGATTCAGGATACAAATCCGCATGAGTCAGTGAACTGACTATGTACTAGACCCGCTGCCTTTCGTTTGTACATTTAATCGAAGCCTTTGGCTGAGGACCCAAGTCGTCCCCCTGTCAGGTGTGGGCGCCTTACTAATATCATTGTCCAACGTCTTCGGAGATTTGGAAGTGGTCGACGTCCCTCATCCCGTGAAACCCAGCCATGGGAGACAACAGGTCTACGGATTATAAGCTCACAGCTCGATTGGCGTAGAGCACGAGCGCCACGCATTGTCTCTGACGGTGGGAGGGCACCTCCGGGTGTTCAATTGTTTGCTATTTCCCGACCCAAGCCACGCAGCCCATGGTCAAATTGGTACAAACCCCCCAAAACCCACCTGCATCTGACCGTGGTCGCAGGTGTATCCTAAAACGGTCGCAAAACGTATATGAATCGTTGCAGTACCCCAAAGGCTGCGGGTGACTGCCGTCAAGCAGATCCCAGTCTGTTTCTGCAATCACATTTGTGAGCTATATCTGCTCCCCACTGCCTTGTAGGTCAGACTATTAAGCCAAAGACTCCGGGTGGAGCCCCTCAAGCAAACCTCCGAAGCACAACTGCCACCTCGCGTGCGATTGCCCACCAACGCAATCGTATGCCTGCTAGCAAGGCACAGCATCGAGTGCTGAAACCTGCGCACACTACTGGACCGGAACTCTAATGAGCACCCGGAGCGACGCACTGCACTGATCGCGATGGAAATGGCGCGCTACAACATCGATATTGCGGCGCTCACTGAGACTCGGCTCGCTGAGCAAGATAAGTTTCATGAAGCAGGTGCTGGCTACACCTTGTATTGGGTGGGCAATACCGACTCAGCACCACGTGATCCTGGGGTCGGATTTGCAATATCCGATCGCCTAAGTGACTAGCTGGTAAGTGAGGCAACAGGCATCAGCGCGCGACTGATGACTGTTCGCTTACGACTCGGAAGAGGTAAGTTTGCAACTTTTATAAGCACGTACGTTCCGATCAAATGTTATCCTGGTGACACGCGCGATCAATTCTACATTCAGCTATCCTCCGTGATACGGTCTGCGCCGAGGAGCGACCGACTATTTCTGCTGGGTGATTTCAACGCGCGCGTTGGGCGTGATGCATCGGTGTGGACAGATTTCATCGGTCCGCATGGTATTGCTTCAGTGAATGCGAACGGTGACAGGCTGCTCTCACTGTGTGCCACTCACGGCCTGACGATCACGAACACTCGGTTTGCACTGAGTGCGAGTGATATAGCAACTTGGACGCACCCACGGAGTGGTCATGCTCCCCTGCTCGACTATGTCATCGTACGTCAGGGTGATATGCGTGAAGTGCGCATGACACATGTACGGTGTGAAGCTGAATGGGTCACTGATCACAATTTGGTGCAGACCAAACTGTACATATATTTTCGTAAATCTATGTATTGCACTCCTGCCGTGAATCGGCGTAAATTTAACATCCTCTTCCTCGGTACTGCGGAGAAACGTATTGAGCTGGAGAAGGCGATGGTTGCACGCCTGTGTGATGTGGAATGTATAGCCACAGCGGGCGACCTGTGGCACCACATTCGCGACCATGTGACAGCTGCTGCCGAGGAGACAATCGGGCATGCAAACTGCAAGCGGCCTGATTGGTTTCATGAAAACAATGCGGCGACTGGCGCATTGGTGTCGTGGAATAATGCAGCATTTGTTGCACATGTGGCAGACCCCACTGACTTAGGGAAGAGTAGTCAGTTTCGCAAACTTCGACGGCGACTGACCCGAGAGCTCCGTCGCATTACGAATGCATGGTGGACGGAGAATGTGAAGCAGATGGGATGCTACGCCGAACGCCGCCAACACAAGGAATTCTTTGACTCGTTGAAGGCGGTGGATGGACCGAGATTGAAGCCGTTGATGACGCTGATCGATGGTAGTTCAGACGCTACCTGCACACAGACTGCAGACATAATGCAGATCTGGCACAAACACTTTGACTGTCTTGTACAATCGACTGGCCTGCATTGAACGGCCTGAAGCAGCAGATGTTTCTAGCGGACACGCCGACACTGGATGAGACGCAGAGAGCACTTGCTCAGCTGTGAAATGGCAAGTGTGCGGTGCCGACGGGATCCCGCCTGATGTATTTAAACAGAACGGACCCGCCTTGGTGACTTCGCTGCACCACTTGGTGCAACATGTATGGATTGAGGAGAAGGTGCCTCCTGAGCTGAAGAATGCCCCTGTGCTACCACTGTTCAAAGGCAAAGGTAGCAAGCAATGTTGCACGAATTATCGTGTCATCAACTTGCTGAGTTGTGGAGGCAAGGTGATTGCCCGAATGCTGCTCAACCGCCTCGTCAGTCAGATTGTGGAACCTAACTTGGTGGAAGAGCAATGTGAATTCTGTTCGGGTCGCAGCACCATCGATACGGTCTTTTCGGCTCGTCAGTTACAGGAGAAGGGTAGAGAACGACACCAGCCGTTTTACTCGCTTTTTGTTGATTTCACCAAGGCATTTGATACGGTGAACCGCGAGGCATTGTGGCTGGTGTTGGGTAAGTTTGGTTGCCCGCGTAAGTTTGTAAGTTTAATTGAATGTCTGCACAGTGACATACGAGCTAGGGTGCAGCTGAGTGGAGAGACCTCGGATGACTTTGCAGTTGTCACTGGTGTGAAGCACGGCTGTGTCTTAGCTTCTGCCCTGTTGAATATTTATCTTCATGCAGTGATGTGCTTTTGATGAGGCTTGTGCTTATGGTGTTCGTGTGGAGCACCATATTGATGGTGGGTTGCTGAACATCCGTCGTTTCGGTGCGATAACCCTAGTCTGTGGGACAACTATCCGTCTGTTGTTGTTTGCTTACATCTGTGCGTTCTTTGCACACAGCGCGGATGAGTTGCAGCAGATTGGTGTGTTGGCTTCGACAGCAGCCAGATTCAACCTCACCATCATCACAAGCAAAACTGTCTGTCTCTTTCAGCCTTTACCTGAAGTGCAATCTTCAATATTGCCGCGAATCAGCATTTGTGCTGAAGTATTGGAAACTACCTCCCGCTTCTGCTACCTTGGGAGTGTGATGTTGACTGACTAGCAGGTACACAGTGAGCTTCGTATCTGCGTCTCGAAGGCAGCGGCGGTATTCGGGAAGCTTGAGTACCGAGTGTGGAACAACCATCAGCTTACTGTTGGCAGGAAGCTGAAGGTGTACAGATCCATGGTGCTGTCCTTTCTTCTACACGGCAGGGAAACGGGGACGATGTACCGCCGGGATGTGCGATATCTCGAGCGGTTCCGTCAAGAGTGTTTGCGACAGATTCTGCGCATCGGTTGATGAGACAGTTGCAGACACGGAAGTGTTGCTCCGAAGTGGAATGTATGCACTGGACTGCATACGTTTTCCGAGACACCTGAAATGGCTCGGTCATTTGAGCCGTATGGATTCGACGCGAATACCGAAACAACTTTTATATTGTCAGCTGAGTTTAGGGAAGCGGCATGTGAGGAAACCGAAGTTACGTCACTAGGACATGATCAACTTGAGCCTCTCACGTTCTAATCTTGATTGCAGGTCATGGGAATTGAGACGGTTTATCGGCGTGCATGGCGCGATCTGATCACTAAGGCCGTTGCCGAGGTGCAAGAGAAAGCCCTCATGCATGCGGAGAAGAAGCGGCAATTGCAGAAGCGACAGGCGCCGATGGGTTGTACTCTATCGACAGCGAGCGCATGGTGCTGTAGCACATGCGGTTACGAGTGCCTGAGTCAGGCTGGCCTAGTGAGTCATGAGCGAGGCCACCCGGGGCCACCACCGAAGCGACGAGGTGTCCTGCAGAGAAGGTAGGCAGAACCGGCGCAGTGTTTGTAGCTACGCTGCATTCGATTTACTAACCGCGTGCTTACATGCTGAGTATATTGTTTCAGGTGGTGAGTTTGCTATGTTGTCCTAATGTTATTTTATATTAATGTCTACCTGAACTATCTTTTATACGCTTTCACACGTCGCTTAAGCTAATTATATTCAACTTCGGTAACCTTTTTGCGGTTCGGACATTTTCTTATGATATATTTTGTGACGTATTAAACCTTTCGCGGAATTTTTGCAACCAATTTATTTCATACGCTCATTTAGTGAAGGATTGTCACCGTATCTGTATGCATTATTCGGCTTATTTTATTCGATATTGTCGTTTGAAGTGTGTTGTTGCTCCAATCACTGACTCCCCGCGACCGGTTTCAGCTTTCTTTGGACTCACCAAGTGGATGGCCTGAGCTGGGAGTGCAACTTAGGTTTTACTGGTTAACTGCTGACTCCTTGATAAGTGATTCACCGAGATTCGTAAGCAGCGCTTGACCGTGGTCTGCTTTAAAGCAAACGGAGGTCTCAGTAGAGATTGCTTGTCCCGATCTAATCACACGCTGAACACTCCAAACCCATCTTTGAATTCCTGGCCACTGTATCAAGTGTTGCCCACTTACTTCATTGACTTATTGATCAAGGTGTCAACCGTTCACCACTAGACACCTAGTTTCACTTCCGACTCAGACTATCTCTGCTTTTTTAGTCGATAATTGGATAAATGCAATCGTAAGGTCTCCGTATTGGGAAGAGCAACACGTAAACTCCTTCAGCAGAAGATATCATTGAGTAAACCATGAAATGGAAATCGACTGTCTGAACTCAGCGCTTTCGAAGTTTAGACTCATGTCTAACTGACATAAGTATGTGCTCCTCCCTAAAACATCTTTCTGTCTAACTTTATCAGATTGGATGCATCGCTGTCTAAAACAATCCAAATTGAAGTCACTAGGATCTATGACGGTTGCGTAACTGGTTACATTTAATATGCAACTTGTGAACAGAGCTACCTTAGTTAGAAGACAACCGCAATAGTCTGCAATAATCAAGACAGCTCGACAAAGGCATCTAATCTATGGCCGAGTAGAGTTACTATCCGTACTTGTAGGTTTATGCTTCTCAAATCGAGATGGATTGTCATCTTCAATTGGAAATAGATGAAATGGCTGTATAATTTCGCAAATGTTAGCTGTAATTTGCATAAAATCCTAAAATTACTCTGTCGTGATAGCCCCACCACCACCACCACCACCACTCTACGATGGCAAATATCAACATTTTCTTGTAGAAGAACTGTGATGAAGAAAACCAAAAAGAAATTCCGCTGAACCTTACCAAATCTCGGTCTGACGATCCGTCTCCGCTGGAAACATCGCAACGCGACTCAGTGGAAGCAGGCTGTGACGCAACTGCTCGCTTGCGGCCTGTTTCAAATCTTCAAGAAGTGAGTTTCAATGAAGGCCTGGATTTAAATTTTGCGATTGGCGCAGTTTGTGCCAAGCGAATACAACCACCTCTGTCAAAGATTAGTTTACGGATAGACCAGTTTAAATATGCACACTTTGTGAGTTATTGCGCGACAGTTTAACCCGAAAATCCACTTTCGTCCCGCAGTTCTGAGTGTCCTGATAATATTGTCATGCTGTTAACTAGACTCCACCCATATTGTTGAACCCAACGCTGTTAAGTGTGGAACATGCCTTTGTAGAGGTAAGTACGTATAACCTTCATCCTAAAGTGATATCACCTCTATTTTTATTGCAGTCCCCACCCATAAATGGCGAGGTTAAAACAACCGGTCCCCTTACGGATGCTCAGGTTATGCGTGCGCGTTGGATCAACTCAGAATCCGAACATTCGATACAACAGTTGAAGCAATCAAGAACTAAACTGGATGAGCTACTGCGCCTGCAAGCCGGACTCCCTTCACCACGTGTCTTTCAAACAACTTTGAGCAAGGCTGCAACAGCTTTCGAAGACGAAACTCACTCCCATGAACTTATGCACTTGACAAAAATGTACGAAGTGGAATGGGCAAAACAACTCATGCAGCTCTATGAATGTCTGAGCAGATGGCTGTGTACCTTTCTGAATTCGTCTGAGCAGTTAGGGTCCTCGTACAGCTCCACTCCTGACGTTTTATCTTCACTTACCCAAACCGCAAATTGTCAAGTCCAAACTCCTTGTTCAGTTTCTCACAATCGTACTGACACTTGCACACCCACAGAAAAGAGTGCGAACCGGGCAGTTTCATTGGACTCACACCGGTCTCCTTGCTCGGACGCGAACCCAAGTTATGGTAGTGCGTCGAAGATCAATAATCACTCCCAACTTAGTGGCAGCCCTAAACCATTTCTGTCTGTGTCTAGTCTACTGAACGGTGAAACACTTACGGGTAAACAAAGTGCAATACAGCTGGCACAAAATCCTTTCCCGCTGTCGCTACAGTCGGCCTACTCACACGAACAAGCTGTGGACACAGACCACACGGACTTGACACAAACGTCTGCTCATACGGATCAATCAATATATTCCACCTGTTCCAGCGCTGCTGCCCATTTACATACACCTGACGCTGTACGCGTATTTGATTTGAGTCGAGATGCGAAGAATGCGGTCCGAAAAACACCCATTACTGTTACCCCATTGAGTCCTCTGATTCCACTCGCAGGTTTAAGCTCCAAGCCAGTGCTTCCGAACTGGAATTTCAAGTCGGTGTCGAAGAGTGACTTTGATATCCAATATCGGAATGGAGCCGGTGCACAACTAGATGAGAGCATCGTAAGTCGAAATAAATATAGTGAGCTTCATGCATATTCAGCATTCACACTGCGATTAAATGCATCTCGAAACATAGCGCCCATTACTTGTACGTTACTAAACCACTGAATAGTTGCCACAAGCAATTGTCACTCTAGAGACAGTTGTGTAGTTTGAGAATTTTTCTAGTTCGATCCAGCATTCATCGCGGCAAATACAGAACCACGAAATTGCACAGCCGTTGAAGTACCGGAAGACAAACATTTCAATGGGGCCCACACAAAAGAGACAGTGAGAGTTGGCATATAGAATCAGGGTCATTCAGTATATTGAATGTTCCATCCCTATCGCTACGTTAAAACAGACGATTTCTGTTAATGACATTGTATCTGGAATTTTTCTTTTTCCATTGTACAAACTCAGTGAAATTCTTGTGTAGGCGATCATGGAGTTCAACTTAATAGAACACAACCATAATATGAAATGCATGGGTGGAAATTTTAAGCCTACCTTTTAACTAACTACGACGGTTTACATCTGAAGTACAAACTATCAATCATACCCTTGGAACGCTTCACAAAAGTACCTAACTTATCTGCAAATTTGCGACAAGATTACGATGAATGAATGTGGCATGGTTTGATTGCCCATACCCCCCATGTTGTGATGTGAGTGAACGGATGGATCAAAGAAGCTAGCGAGAAAACCAATGGGAAACGGACATGGCGGATTCGATAGCTGGACACAGATTGGTCAATGTTGGTGTGGGGGTTCCTCACCATTTGTTTAACTGAGTCGAAGGAAAAACATCATCGGCTCATAAAAATCGTTGGTTATGGAAATGAACAAACAATCCATACGGAGGAATGCGGCGTGGTAAACATGACATAATTTACGCTGAGCTGATTTTGCCGAATAAGCACTTGTTCCTTAAGTATCGAGTTTTGCGACAGATGGTGCTTTTATTTGTTTCATCACAATTAGATTACGAGCCTGGAAGGTGAATAACCCTTTCGGAAATGCACCAGACGGCCGTTTCGCCCTATTAGGATTCGTCAGTGGTACGCATTCCCTCGGTTCGCCTACTGGTGATTGTTGTTGTGGACCCTCCACAGTTGAGAGTAGGATGTTGGATCAAGGTTATAGGCGTAAGCTCAATGGACGGAGATATGGATCACCTCTTACCCTCACCCGCAGTATAACCTCTGTAAGTTAACCACTTAAGGGACTAGATCAAAAGGATCAACTTACAGAGATGGTCAACAAACAGATGTCTGGATTCATAGACATTTTATGAAGAACTTTCAAACAATGAACAATAAAACGGCCATCTTGGAATGGTGGTCAATATGTAGAGGTGACCACATTTAAAGGTTTTACGCTAATTTCATTTGAATCATCCAAGCAACCGAATCACTGGGGTCTGGCAACCAAACACAAGGGGTTTAGTGTGTATCCACTGTACAGAAGCTATCAAATGGCGAAGGAACATAGGATGAGAGCAACTATCACGAGTTGCGTATGGTTATTTCAAGATTTAGATGCAAGATTACGACAATTTGGTATCCGCGATCACGTTCAGAAAATTTGTCACCCAACGTGGAGTTCAACCACTTGGGTGAGCAATTGACAGTTGACTGGCGGATCACTGGCCCCTTAATGTAACGTAGCGCGGCACATTGTCTTTTATTTTAGTTCTTGATATGAATGTTAGTACAGACCTTAGTGGTTAGTGCGTTAATCATCTAACCTTTCTTGTGAAAGATTTCCATTGTTTACTTAGAACGAGTAAGCTCAAGCATGTAGACGGGTGATAAAAATAGACGGGTCAAAAGGAAACGCTTGATTTGCCCTACACACGTCATGCTAGCATCAACTCACCTTTTGATGAAATCCGGCAGCATAAACATGCTCAGTTTCACTATGTTTTAGTTTGCAGGTTCTTGCAAGCTCTTCCCGGAGTGCAACACCACAACAAGCAGCAGCAAGTCAACGCCCTCATCAGGCCAACGAATCAATGGCCCGCAGTCTCGGAATGAGAGGACAGGTCATATCAAACGTCCTATGAACGCATTCATGATATGGGCAAGAGAAGAGAGACGAAAAATTTTGAAGGTAAGCCATCCCCAAGCAACCACACGGTCATTAGGTGATGCAAAGCACAGTGACACTACATTTGCATGGACCAGGTCAGATGCAGAAATGCAGTGATATGAGTCAACGTAATGAAGACGTTAACATCTGATTCCGGAGCTGTTCTTTTCATTGTCGTCAGACAGAAACAAACCTTCCCTCTAGAGGTGGTAAAACCGTCCAGGAATGGGGTTTTGCATTTAGTTCAACTGAATAAACTTACCCAGAGGACTATTTTCCTACGGTCGGCGGATTATAGTACTGACAATGTTCCACGCGGTGTTAGTGCGATTCCTTTCACTTATCTCGATTGATCACACAGTTTTCCCCATTGTTATTTCCATTCAAGCAATTGGTGTTACGCTTATTGTCCACCCTTTTGCTGATATAACTCTGCAAGGAATTCGGTATCACTGCAATTGGACAGGATTACTGCGCGCTACAATGGGTTCAAAAGTGTTGGCATAAGAGAATGCAGTGTAAGGTTCATAGATTCGAATGGCGGCTAGGCTGCCTCTCAATGATGCGAAAAGAGCAATAGAAAAAGGATTTCTCACATGAAATTGCTAACACTCCAAAACTCTCTTAGTTGAGAATATTTTAGCCTGTATGTAAATACGTAAAAAAGGATGTGTGTTGATACACTCACTTTAAGGTTGACCCTTACACACGGTTTGGGTATGCCGCGTCACGATAACGAACAAAATAGTATAATGTAGTTGGAAAAATGTGTTATTAAGTCATATCTTGAATTTGCTTAACATGCTTCTGAATTATTATCAATTTGGAGAGTTCATACTTGGGACATACGAAGTAGGAAGACGTTTCGGCAACATTCCAACTGGCTAGTATCGTACAGTGCCCTCCTAGAAGCAAAAACGAAGGCTGGGCTACAATCAGAATATATTCCAGTAAACCGGCGGCTGTTCCAGTACCGGCACAGGTTGCGCCAGTCTTGCTCAACAGCCTACAATGTGATGCGGTCGAAGTGTATCAGCTACTCGTCAACCTCGATGGTGCAAAGCCCCCCGGACCAGATGGACTTCACCCACTAATACTCAAGTCCCTATCGATTAGCATCTCACCAGCCGTGACAAACCTATTCAATACATCACTCTTTGAAGGATCGGTCCCCAACGACTGGAGATGCTCGATAGTGAGACCGCTTCCCAAGAGTGGTGATCCGAATAAAATAGAGAACTATCGACTGATCTGTTTGACTTCGATATTATCGAGAAGGTTGTGAAAAAAGTGTTTGCTGTCGTTCTTCGAATCGATGGACGTATTGACGCCAGCGCAACACGGCTTTACGAAAGGCCGATCCCGCATCACCAACTTAATGAACGCAAACCACCAGTGGGTACGAGCTCTTAACGAACGGAAGGATGTTGACGTGATGTACATCGACTTTAGTAAGGCGTTTGACAGAGTGAACCACGAGGTACACCTCCATAAACTGAGGACATAAAGAATCGGTGGCACGCTACTTCAGTGGTTACACGAGTTTATTGTGGGACGAAGTTTAGTGTATAGGTCAACGATTACCTGACAGACTGGTTCCCATCGACCAGTGACGTACCTCAAGGAACTCTACTTGGGTCAGTTTTATTTCTTATTCATACCAACGATCTTCCGCAGCAGCTCCAGTCACCATGTGCCCTGTTTGCAGATGATTCGAATATCTGGAGGATCATTGAGAACCAGGATGACTGCGCTCGCCTCCAGCATGACTTAGAGCGACTGTCAACGTGGTCCACTGAAATGCAACTCCCTCCTAACGCAAGCAAGTCAGTTCATCAGTATCACCAGACGTCCAGCCACTCGAACATACACCTTGGACGGCCAGTTGCTCCACTTTAACACATCTGTCAGAGACTTAGGAGTGCTCTCGCGACATGATATGAGATCAATAGGAAATACAGAAAAAATTGCACCGTGCAGGACTACGTGTGCTCTGGGCATTAAGGTGCAGTTCCTCCACATGGTCCGAAGAAACCGTCCCTCGTTTATTCACCTCGCTCGTTAGACCATTCCTTGAATATGGTGCCCCAGCTTATCATCCGATAACCCAGTGGAAACCGAAAAGTTGGATTAAATACGGCATATCGCAACTAGAATGATACCGAGTCTACGAAAGCTTCCGTATGAAAAACCTTGTGAAAGACTCGGACTCTACACACTATCCCACCGCCGATTAAGAATTGACCTTATTATGACTTATGGAGTACCACACTTGAATCACTTCCCCATACTGCGGCCAATATTTCACCTGCGGGAACCCTATAACACCCGAGGACCGTTACAAACTCAGGGTCCTCTGCATGAACAAAGTATCACATCAGCTTTGTATAGAACGAAGAATCGTAAACTTATGGAATACACTACCAGAAGGATTAATAGAGGCCGATTCTTTAAAGTGTCTTAAAACACGTATCGACGATTATTTCGGAAATCTTGCTTTTGTGAAACGATGCACATTCAACCCCAAAAGAAGACATCGTATACCCGGAAATAACGACAGCAATCCGAATTACTAACCAAACAGGGATAAACGATTAACTGACCAAACACTACCGCTGACGATTTGCAATTCAATGTTTTTGATTTTCCATAATTCGATAGAGTTGTACAGGAACCTTTCTACTTGCTCTTAAATACAGTCTCAGTCTCAGAAATCAACCAATATCAGGGCAACCAACGCTCCATTGGGAGAGTTCAATTTGTTCTTTGATTGGCTGCATTTGGCGGAAGCAACGCATTCACCGATCAGACCAATTGACCGTGCCGTTTGTCAAGGCGATTCTCGCCCACGTATCTAGACATTGCTGCTCGGCTGGCGGCGATCGATCCGCATTCAAACCATCGGCCCCAGTTCGTTCGGCCCGCCCATTCGATAGGCAATCAGCATGTTCGATGTCGTATCTTATCAGTGACTGTCAACTTTCCTTCCAATCTTTAAGAAGGTTCAGCGTACTTTCTGCGAAATTCATCGAGGCATTAGCCTTGTTTCCATTACCTCCAAACTTCTCACGGTCATCATTCTCCGACGACTTACTGCTCCCCGTGAGAACCAGATCACTGAAAACCAGTCTGGCTTCCGCCCTGGTCGTGATTGTATCACGCGATTGTATCTTCGCCAAGTTTTAGAGCAAAGCCACACATGCAGACGATTGACTATAGGGGTTTTCCTTGACTTGCAACCCACCTTCGACTCTGTTGTCCGCGCCAGCATGTGACACTGCCTATCGATGAAGGGCGTGCCAGCTAAATTCCTTTCCACTATGCAGGCCGCGTTAAGGTTTACAGGAAACTGTCTTCTGACTTCCCCACGACAAGTGGGTTCACCAGGTTTGTCCCACATCTCCTGTCCTCTTCAGCTTTGTGATCGAAATGATCATGCATGACTCGGTTCTTTCACACTGTATCGGAGTGGAAGTCCTGCCAAGTAACCGGCTGACAAACCGGGAGTACGCGGACGACATTACTGTCACTGGGACTGACGCAGTGGCTCTGCAAACTCTACTGGATAAACTGACGCGTAGCGCTGCGCTCTTCGGATTGTGCTTTGCACCTTCAAAGTGCAAACTGCTGCTGCAGGGCTGGGCAGACACACCGGTTCTAGCTATCACCGGACAACCACTAGAAGTGCTGGATCGATTCCCTTAATAGTTGTGCCACCTATGATGCTCATGTCACTGAGGTGGTAACGTCGCGTATCAGCAAGGCTCATGTGGCTTCCCAGAGGCAAACATCTATGGAGGCGGCGGGATATCAGTCTGGCAGTGAAAGCTAGGGTTTATAACGCTGTAAGAAGGCTTATGTTGCTGTGTGTAACCGAGACCTGGCCAGTTCGCAGCGAAGACATTAAACGCCTTGCCGTGTTTGATCACCGGTGCTTGCGGAGTAACGCTCACAACTGGTGCGAATGCCAGGTGAGCAATACCGAGGTCCTCCAGTTGGTTTTTGACACGGAGTCTTCTGGTGCCTCATTTGAGTGTTTACAGAATCTTAATTGTTTACGTTGCCTAGGCTATGTCCTCCGTATATCCTTTGATTGGCTTTCTCAGCGTGCATTACGCGCCTTGGAGGCACCAAGTTGAACGAAACCGCGAGGTGGTCAGTCCATGATGTTGCGTGAAGGTATGAAGAAATTGTCTGTGAGACTTGGTCAGGTTGGTGCGTGCAGTCTTCGTGGATGGGCGCCTCGGGATGGTCCACACCAATGGTTGGAGACCATATTGGACATGTCGCAGTCACATAGGCATTGGGGTTTTTGTATTCGGTTTCTTGCATTTGATTGATAATTTTCATTCCATTCTGATTAGTTTAACTGACTTCTTTGTTGCTTCCATTTTCTTTACAATCTACTTACGTTCAGTCCTACTCTCTTGCTGCTGTTGTTTCCTGTTATTCTTGCGATGTGAGTCGTGGCAACTGAATTCACTGAACCACATTACTCGGACCATAGTTGTTCAACTGAACTGAACCCGTACTGTATCTTATCACCACAGCTATATCGTGTGAAAAACTTTACATGCCAGCCTCTCAGTGCGGTGCTATGGCCGTTTTATCGAGCTACTTTTTCCTCGATTGTGTTTCACTATTAACCGATACACCGGTACCGTCCGCATATAACGATATTGTCTGCTAAGAAATCTTGAAGTGAAAAAATCCAGCAACAAACCATACTTCACCATGTTTTTAGATGGTTTTTCTGTAATGGTACAATTATCCCGTCCAACTGCTGTTCAAAGATGTGTGTGCACGATGACAACATTAATTCTGGTGTTGGCTGATCCCAGATTCTTAAACATGGTCAACAGTTGCAGTTATCTTTTTGCACGTTTTGTTATCCAGCTTTGTAATGTTAGAGCACAGAACGCATGGGCCATTCTTAGTTGCGATCTGCCATATAAGGCATGAAAAAGTATGAGATGCATGATTTCTGAACGGGATTGAAATGCCCATGTTGTCTGTTTGTC